CGAGTACCTCGGTCTGTCGCACTCCATCAACGACATTCCTGGCCCAGGACTTGGTATGACCATGGCGCCACCACAACACAGCCTCATGGCCGGTAGCCACTACTGAGCATACCCTGTCACGACGTCACACATGTGAAATGAGCATTTCGGCGCAATCAATGGCGCAGCCATCTAGAAGGATACCAGTCTGCTGTTTTTCTTGTTCATCTTCTTGTCTTCGCGTTTAATCTCTTAGACCGGTGTCTGTTTTCCTCTGTTCGGCATACATTCATGATGTCCGCACTGCATTTGTTCTTGCTTTTTCTTTTCCAGCCTTCGGAGCTAGGGGATGGTGATACCACCGGATTTTGGCTTTTTGAGGGGTTGGCTGACGACACAACACTACGAACATGAGTACCCTTCTTTTTTTGTCTCATCGTTTCACGTTTTTCCCTTTTTCTTCATTCTTTTCCCTTGCGCTCCGATCTGTTTGCTCGTTGTCGTCGTCGTTCAGCGCTCTGTTGGATATATCCTTGGCGGCATGGCTTGCTTTGTTGCAAAAGTTGTTTGATGGCGGACTGGGACACCATTTAAAGCGCACGCATACGCATATCGTCGACACATCTCTCTCGGATATGCAGGTAGCTTGGTGGTTTGCGTCTTCCTCTTCGTGAGGCGGCGTGTGTATAATATTGAAACTCAATGCAAAACGCATAACTGCACTTCTTGTCTTCGCATGCCATTGCTACTGTGACCTTTCGTATGCTTACAATGATCACCAACACCTATACTTCGCATCCAGTTCGCACACGTGTCACAGTATACTCTCAGAAACCAGCACTCAGGATGAAACACCACCCCATCCCATCACGCATGCAAATCCCAAGAGACATACGATCAACACATCAAAAACATCATATCACAGCACATAACCATCATACCAACACCCCCCTCACACAAATCCTCGACCCCAGCAACCCGTCATACCAACACTCCATCCCTCAAATCCTTCCGTCTCACGTGCCCCGTCCCCCTGCTCAAACAACCATCTCACCTCGCCCCGCCGCAATCCTTACGTCACACATGGCCACCGCGCTTGTTTCAGAAGCGACTACGCCGTATAATTACACATCACCTCTCTTCGCGAGCACGGTCTAGATTTGGGAAGGGACTGGGGGTGCGGAAGTCGGTCCTGCGGGACCCGACTGTGCCTCACTTGACTTGACTTGGGTGTGGCACGGTTGCGTGCGGGTTTGCGGGATGGAGACCGCGTCGGAGTCGGAGGCGGAGGAGGATGTCGGAGGGAGGAAGGCGGTGGGAGGTGGAGGTGGAGTAAGGGTGGAAGCCACACTGATCTGCGCGGTGTGTGGACTTGCTGGTTCGAGGGAACGGTGTCTGTGCACGGGGAGGGTGGGATGGGTGGGGATGGGAATGTAGGTGGTAGACTTTTGGACGATAGACACGTGGAGTGTGGGGCTGTACACATTGTCTTTTTGTGAATGCAGTGCGAGGCGAGCGTTGTGGTATGTTAGCTTTTGAAGGATCAATGGAAAGCGAGCGTTGTAGATCATGAGGCTGTGGATGGGTGGACTGGGGAGGGGTCATGGTGGTGTGAGCGGTTGGCTTGTCGATGCCGGCTTGAAGGCTTCGGGGGGCTGCGGTAGCGACATCGATTGCCATTCAGCCACTTCGGAGTCCTTTTGCTCTTGCTATGTTCTTTGATTACTGTCACTAATGCATACTTGCTACTTGGGGGTGGTAATCTGGTATTTGAAATGGGGGGAATGTGAAGTTCACATGGCACGGAGTGTCCAGTGGCCGTTGCCTTTGTGGGTTGGATGGGTGGGAAATGGTACTCTTCGCCAATCGGCGATCTGAAGTTGTTGTATTTCACGGTTGGGCAGGTACCTTTGCGCCAAAAAGCCGTCATGGGAGCACCCGTTCGGAGGGCTGCCGATTGGTACCTCTCGCTTATGGCTTGAACTATGTGCCAGCATGTCGTACGATTATGTGGTATGTGGTGGGAAGAAAAAAATCAGGGTGCATGTGTAGCTTCGCGCTAGAAAGCTCGAAGAAGTATCCCTGGGCCTGCTCGAGTGGGTGCTTTTTACGGGTGCGTCTCGCCATGTGTAGGCATGGTTTGCGGTACGCTTACGGGAGCGGCGTGTCCATGCCCCATGTTTTCTCATTCCGGGACTTTGTGTCGCCGGCTGTAGGGGTGCAATGTGTGTGCGTTCAGGAGAATTACGCGCGGTCTGTGAGTGGTTGTGTGGGAGATGATGTTGTGGCTGTAGCTTGCCGTCGCCGGAGGCAGGGTAATTTGCTTGTAGTCTTTCTTTTTAACGTAGTGATGTTACCTCGAGTCAGTGATTACACACGCGGCTGTTTCCTGAGTAGCTCCTCCGCCTACTTTCGGGGCGTCAAGTAGCCGACGCATCGTACATGTTCAAGGGTGGCGGAAAGTTAGTAGGCCGCCACAAGAGGACGCGCCTAGCTCGCGATGCTTTGGCCGGACCGGAAACATCAAGTTCACGGTGTAATGTTGAAGTTGGTCTGAAGTGAAGACAGTGTCGTGATAGTCGTCGCTCCGTGGTTGCGCGATGTGGAAGATGCGCTAACACAAAAGTCGTTAGCACGTGGTGCGCCTGGCGTGTTCCACCGCCTTTTCCTTTCCATCGCGCATGCACACTCCACGAACCTCAACAGTGAACGCCATTTGTCGTCTTCCCAATACGAGGTTCCTGGTTTTCTGGGATATACATACGTCGAGTGTGTGTGCCTGTCGTAATGGAACAACCTGGTTCATCCTCGGCTGCGCAGACGAAGCGGACCAGGCCAGCCTTACTGTACGTGTCTTTCTCGGGCGAGTGAATCTTTCAATACTACATATTTACATCACTTTTTTTTCGCGTAAACCAGTAGTCGCGCGTAATGCTAGACTAAATTTGATGACAAGATCCCGGGACCAGACCTTCGTAACGATCAGCACCAGTGATGCCGACACGTACGAGGGGAAGCAGATATACCTGCTGCACAGAGAACTGCTATGCTCTTATTCGCCTTATTTTGCTGGTGCATTTAAGGGGGGGTTTCGTGAATCTGAAGACAAATCGATCCATCTTCAGGATGTATCGGCCTCGACGATGAGGCTATTTCAATTTTGGCTGTTAAAACAGCCCATCAACTGGTCGACGGACTACATCATTGACGAAGACGGCTCAAACAAAGTGGCGAAAGACCAACAAGGTAGATCGCTCGGCATCTTGTAGGGTTTCGATCTGACCAAGTGACTGACGAATGTATAGCCGACGCTAAACCTGCGCCTTCCGCGCCCATATCAGAGCCGCGCCTAAGTTCGTCGAAACCTGCTGAATGGGTAACAAAAGAAGGTGAGATCATCTCTTGGCCAGTCTCATAGAAGCTAATCCAAGAAGATTTTCTGTTCCAAAGGAAATACCCATATCTGAAAACACTGCTCGGTCTATACGCTTTCGCCGACAAGTATGATACGCTACTGCTACGACAAGATGTTATGACACTGCTGGTGGAACTCACGACTTACAATCGGCAAAACAACGGTGTCAGAGATCAGTGGTCATCGTGCTTGGTCAGGACATTCTACGATGCTCTGCCCTCTACTTCTCCGCTTTGTCAGTACGCTGTCAAAACACGAGCGGTATATCAATATAAGGAAATGACCAAGGAAAGATACGAGAGATACCCACAATCGTTCTTGATCGATCTTTTGATGATAGCTGTCCCGATGAAAGGCCTCTCAACCCTACGAAATATTAAGGAAGAACTCTCTGACCCTTGCAACTTCCACGAGCATAAGGGTGCTAAAGAAGCGATTGCGATCTGCAAGATGAGACAGCAGAAAGAAGGACTCTGGTTCGCTAGCTTTCTGCGAGCATGCATGAGCGAGGTTTACGATATGGATGATGCGATGCTGGAAGCAAAGTCACATGCGCAGACGGAGGAAAGCCCCAAGTATGATGCTGGCATGTTGGAAAAGAAAGATCATACGGCGATGCCCTCCTCCGCCGGTGGTGGACTGCCATCAGATTCGACCTTTTCATTCACAATTCCCCGAGGAGTGGATGGTAGGTCACAAATGGAACCACCCGTAAGCAATTGGGAAGATTTGGAAGCGTACGATGATTATGAGATCTTGCTCCACGGTGGCTGAGCTGAGACTGTCGCCATCTCACGCGTCGACCCGTCTCCATAAGCCTGCTCTTACCTGGGTATATGGGTCGAGACCTTAACAAATTCATATACGGGTGTTGACACCCGCCTGAACGACTACCGAGCTACAATGCGTTGACTTTCCATTCATGATCAATACTAGAACAGGTATCGCATGCGAAGTCATGGCAACAGGGCCGAAGACGCGTCAAAGTCGCGCTAGTCTCAAATAGTCGCACGCGTCAAGCTTCAACAGTTCCCGAGGTGCCCCCGGGGCCCGCAATCTCTGTTCAGCTCGTAACATCAGCACCTGTACCCAAACTATCCCTTCAGTCACAGCTCAATTTCCATATCTCTCCCCAAAACTCTCGAGCGATACTGAATCAATTCGCTGGCCCTTTTCAAAGTCACCACAATAACCATGGAAAATGCTGCTAAGAGACCAGCCGAAGCCCAACTGACCAGCCACAAGTCCAAACGTCCGACATTCTCGTGAGTCTCATCAAATCCAGCAAGCTCTAACCCGAATCATAACTATTGACCTCTCGATTGGTCAACCAAACTGATTCGTACCGATAGCACGATAAGCCAAGCGCACGTCACTGTTCGCCTTGATCTTGATGACATTGTCGTCACAGTTCACAAAGATATCGCATGTTTCTACTCAGGGTATTTTCGCAAAGCATTTGGGGGTCCCCTCCTCGAAACAGAGGTGTGGTCAATAAGTTTGCCTGATACCAGGGCAGACATATTCCGGCTATACCAGGATTGGCTATACGCGCAAGCCACACGGCATGAGAACTCTACCCCGATCGACACTACGGAGACGGAGAATGCGAGGTATAGGAAGCCTAACAGCAACCCTGACTGGCTGGTTCCAAGAAGTACATTACTGCGCTACTTGCTGCTGCCCTTTACATGCTAATCACATCACAGATTACCGCCAGGAAACAGCAATTTCAGCTTTCTACGGCGACGTATTCCTCCGCTTGTATGTTTTTGCAGAAGTCTATGACGTGCCGCTCTTGAGGCAGGACATTATGACCTTGATGGTTGACCTTGAAAGACCCACGGGTATTCTGTGTCAGAAGATCGACAGAGACGCCTTGGACAAATCTCTGCTCTCGAATTCGCCGTTCCGAATCTTCTTGCTAAAGTGGATGGCCTTCGTATTCGTCGGTTATCCGTTGAACACCACGACTGCAGCAGACATCAGAAAATGCTTTTCTCATGATTGGCTTGCTGAAGTGATGTGGATTATAGCCTCCCAACCAAAAGATCCACATCTACGTGAGCGTTTGTATGACGATGTAAAGGATAGTTGCGCATTTCACGAGCACCAGAACGATTGGGAGAAGATTCTGTGTCGACGACATCAAGCCTTTGACACCCAGTTCTACACCAACTTTCTGCGCAATATATTTAATCTCATTTTCGATCTCGATAAAAAATACGGAACTCCGGAAACAAAGAAAAAGAGAGAAAAGGCGAAAGCCGAGGAACAGATCAGGGTCAAGCTAGAAGAAGACATACAGTCCTCGGGATTTGAAAGCGCCGAGGAAACTTTGGATGAAGAAGAGTGAACCGTAGATGTTCCTCTGACAAAGCACGGACTCAAGCTTCGTTGGTAGCCTACCGTCGGCCCACGCAATCCGCTCTACCACTCTGCAACACTTCTTCGCGGATATCTTCCACGTACTATCTGCTGGACAAATTGTAGCCCATCTCGATACCCATCACTCTAAGTTACATGGCGACATTCGCCCCTCCCGCCCTCCGTGGCGACTTCCTCTACTCATCCGTCCTCTACGCAGACCCTAGCAACGGAAACCTCCACGGACGCGCGAGTGTCGCCGAACTTGCGGCTCTCCTCCGCCCGGAAGCCCCTAATCTCTACAACAAGGGTCGAAAGCCTGAAGTCGCGACACCAGCGAAAGACCAGGTTTGGCATTTCTACTCCGCCCAACTTATTCACTATGGACTACCGGTCACCAAGGACAAGAATGCGGCGAAAGTGCGACTCCTGAATGCTATGAACCAGTTCAAACTTGAGGTACCAGCGTGGGTTTTGAAGGTCGAGAGCGAACTGAAGGCTGAATGGGAGGCGGAGAACCGGAAGTTGAAGAAGAAGAATGGTGGTGCAGTGAACAAGCAGGCGCCTAAGTCGAGCGCTACTAGCAAGCCAGGTCTTGGAAGCTCTCAGGGTGTAAATGGCGGTGTCAACGTCACTGGTAGGCTTAGAGACCCCTGATATTTGACGCTGCTAATCCTATCTCGAAGTCAATTTGGCCTTAGGAGGAGCGTCACTTAGCCAGTATATGGACGCGCAGCAGGCGAGCAACAACGCCCCAGAGAAGCCAACGCCAGCGAAACGCAAACGCGCTGGTAGTACCGTCTCTAGCCCGGTAGCGACACCACAGAAAGTCGCCAGAGTCAAGAAAGAGCCAGCGCCAAAGAAAACACTCGTCAAGAAGGAACCGACCGCCAAGCGATCTGTTCCCAACATTAAGCAAGAGGGCCGCACGTCCGCGCCACCATCAACTCCCTCACGATCTCGCATCAAGCAAGAGCAGTACCAGCCCAGCCCCGACCGAATGTACCCATCGCCCTACATCAAGTCCGACCCATACCCGGACTACTACCAGCCTTCGTCATCCCTTCTCCTCAGCGGTACCTACTCCATCTCCTGCGAAACCGCCAGCTCCATCTTCAACGACTACAACTTCGACCTTACACTCGCCCGCGACCCCTCCCGCGGTATCTGGTGGGCGACATTCCGCTGGGGCGCCTGGGACGGAATCATCCAGATGAACCCCGGCCCCGGCGACTCTGATAGTTTAGGTCAACCCTGTTCGCTTGGCTGGCGTCTTCGCGATCTGGAAACTGGACAGTTGACGTTTGGTCGCAAGTGCACGGGTTATATGACGTTCTCTGGTGATGGGTCGATGGAGGGGTGTTTGTATGAGGTGCCGGGTGTTGGGTCGTTGACGTTCGAGGGTATGAGGGTTTCTGGTGGGAGCTTAGAGGATGATCTTAAGGGGGAGTGGGATAGGTTTGTTGCGGAGGCTTATCGGCGCTGAGGTTGACGTGGACCTAGCAGGAGTTCGCGTAGCCGGCACTGTATAATTAGGCTATCCGCTGCCTGTAGTCGCGTTTTAGCTAGTACTTTAGTACTAGAGATTGTAGATTAAAACTTATCTATTTCTAATTTCTATTAAATATAATAACTTATATTTAGCCTAATAGTAAGCTTTACTTTATAATACTAACGCCTTTTTTTAACTTTCTATACTAATACCTAATACTAATATATTATAGTACTAAAGCTATTTATATAATATTTTTATTACTAAATAAAGACTTTATAAATACTATCTTATTTATACTTTTTCTAACTAGTAGATTTAGCTTATTTATAAGTATAAAAATAGTTTTTTTCTATTACTTAAGATAAAGTACTACTAAAGTAGTATTTATACTATTAATTTTTATAGTTTTCTTAAAAATATTATATTTTATTACTATAATTATTAAAGTAGGTTTTTTTTTAGCTATTACTATAATAATACTACTAATAAACTAGACTTTTAGATTACTTTTAATAATTAAAAAAAAGTTTACTTAGTTACTAGTTAGTATAAAAGTAAAATAGCTATATAGCTTATAGATTTTTTTATAAATCTAGAGCTTTATATACTTAATATTTAGTTATTATAGAATATTAGAGAGTTTAGGCTCTAAAATAGTAGATATAGACTATATAATAAAGTAGTATAAGTTATTTAATAAAAATATTTTAAAGCTATTAAGTTAGTAAAAGTAGTAGTAAGAAAAAATAGTACTTATCTAGTATTCTAAGTAATATAGTATAAGTAAGAAGTAAAGAAAAAGCTTTAAATAAGATTTTTAAGTATATTTAAAAGTCTTTCTTTTACTACTATAACTATACTTTATAACTTTAGTTATTCTTTATATAATAGTTCTAGGCCTAGAGCTCTATTAGCTTAATATTAGGCTAACGCCTTTATAATATATATTTACTTCTAATAGCTTCTACTTAAAGCTCTCTACTATAATAATAATATTATTTTATATACTTTTATTATTAATATATATAAGACTTTTATATATTATTATAGTTAACTTTATAACTACTAACTAAGCGCTGTAACTTATAAGAGCGCGCTACTAATAAGTTATAGCTTTATAGAAGATTCTAGACTTTCTATATCTAGACTACTTAGAATTCTTTATTATATAGAATACTAATTACGCGCAGCGCTATAACACTCTAGAGACTACTATTTAGATAACTAACTTATACGTTATTACTTTAATTCTCTATTACTAGTAAAATACTACTACTACTATTAACTACTTATGCGCTCTTAGTAGTAGTAGTAGTAGTAGTAACGTCTATAAAAGTAATACCTAGACCTAAAACTCTAGATACTTATTCTACACTATTAGATACTTATACGCTACTATCTCTATAATATAGCTATTATAAGCGTCTATTACCTTATTCTCTCTACTTATACGTTACACTAGCACTAATCTCTAGTTACTAGAAACCTATAATCTTCTCTAAGTTCTAGAAGCCTATTAATATATACTAGGCTACTTTCTATCTTATAGTAATAGCGTAGTTAATACTAATAGCTTCTAAATACCTAACTATATTTTTAAAGTCTCTAACTTAGAGAGTAGTAATAATACTACTATAATTACTTATTAAAAGAAGAAGACTATTACTTTTAGTAATAAGATCTATTATCTATTAATAAGCGCTAACTAATAACTATTCTATTAAGTATATTTTAATAATAACTCTAACTTTAAAAGTATCTAAACTAGCCTAAGATAGTTACACGCCTTACACTCTACCTCTTATAATACTTTATCTATTAGTTATTCTACCTCTTATAACGCTTTATCTCTTACTATACCTAAGTTATCTAAAAGGCTATTCTATAAGTAATAACTTTTTTAGTTATATATTATTTCTTATAATAATAACCTTACTACCTTTAAAGTTTAAAAGACTAATACTAATAGCTACGCTACTTGTAAGAAAGGCTTAGAAAGTACTATTAAGCTTACTAACTTAGAGAACGTTAGTAATATTAATAAATATATTATCTTTATTAGTAATATTATAGAGTAGCTATACTCTATAAAGTATAATCTTAATAATAAGTATATCTACGTAGACTTTCTTAGTAGCTACTTACTTAAGTAGACTAACTTAGTAAAGTCTCTATAAGAGAAGACTTATAAGTTCTAGAATAATACTAATAGTTATAAAGATAACCTAGATAATATAATAAAGGCTACTAATATTCTCTATTAATAACTTACTAACTCTAATTATAATAGTGTAAAGCTATAAGAGTAGCTACGTAATATATAGAGTATTTTTTATCTTAATAACTAGAAGCTATAAAGTATTAAATAGAAGCTTAAGTATATAGCTATAAGTAAAAAGGCGTATAAGGTTAGATACTATAAGAAGTTTAACGCTCTTAGTCTTGCCTAGGCTAATATTAAGAATCTAGAAGTTTATCTTTACTAGGTAGCTATACGTAAAGCTAAGCCTAGCTAATACGCTTACGTAGGCTCTACCTTTCTAAACTACTTTAACTTAGATAATAATATTAGTAGTAATAATAAAAGTTCTTATAACTCTCTTAGAGGCTCTATTAGTAGCGCTTTAGATAGCTTATTAGAAAACTTTCTAGATAGCTAAGATAATAATAATAGGTCTACTTATAATTAAGGCTCTTACTACTATTACTCTAAGATACTAGAGCCTAAGGTATTCTTAGGTATTAATACTACTAAATTAGAGTATATAAAGTAGAAGATAAATATTAAAAACTAGTTTAGTACTTACTTTTATAACTTTACTAATAAAGATAAAAAGTTAAGCTATCTTTATTAAAAGACTAAGAATAGAGCCTTTAGTAATATTTAGAATAGTTTCTTTAATACTAATAGTAGCTTTATTTATAGTAATAAAGTCTAGACTATTCTTAATACTATCTACTAGTTTCTAAATACTATAGTCTCTACTTAGTAGTAGTATAAGAGCTTAAAGTTCTATATAAAGGCTAGTAAGACTATAAGTAAATATATTACTTACTTTAACGTTAGTATATCTACTCTTTAATAAGCTAACTATATTAAGCTCTAGTTTATATATAACTATCTTCTAAGCTAGTAAAAGAATATAACTACTCTTAAAGTTCTAAAGCCTAATCTTATATATCTAGACTTTTACTATACTCTACGTCTTCTTAAATAGTCTAACTCTTAGTAAGTATCTAATACTAACTATAATAGTAGTAGAAACTAAAGTAATAATAATAATAAGTCTAATACTAGAGAAAAACGTAGTAGAAATAGTAGTAACGCTAGCTCTAGCTCTAGCTCTAGCTCTAGCTTTAGATTAGGCTCTAGATCTTATAGTTATACTAAAATCTAGATTAAGGTCTTACGCTACCTAAACTACTACTATAACTATCTTAAGAAGAACTATAGCTATAAGGCCTCTAGTAGCTACTACTCTAGTTAATCTTCTACTTTTTTTAGTACTAATAGTAATATTTAGAAAGCTTTAGAGAAGGCTATTACTAATAATAAAGTTCTAGTTAGTAACTCTATCTATTCTAAGAAGGCTGCTAGCGCTACTCTAGGCGTAAACGCTATTAATAACTCTAGCTTATTAGAAAACTAGTTATCTCTAGTAATAGTTACCTCTAGAGACTTTCTAAGTATAAAAATATAGCTTCTATACTAGCTAGCATATTAATTTTACTCTCTACCTCTTTAGTTAAGAATAGTAATAATAAAAAGAATTTATATCTAAATTATTATACTACTAATTCTTTTATACTTTTCTACTTCTCTTTAGAAGATAGTAATATTAATAATAATCTAGAACTAGATCTAACTCTTAAAGTAATTACTAATTACGTTAAGGCTCTAGAATAGAGCTAGACTAAGTTCTAGATAATAGTTTTATCTATTACTACTACTACTATACGTAGTGTAATTTACTAGCCTCTTATAGGCTAGTAATTAGTCTTTAAAGAAATAATATCTTTAAACTATACTTTTCTATAATATATTAAAATTATAAATAATACTAGCTATATATCTTTCTTTCTTAACTTTTCTTATACTTATATATATAAATATAACCTTCTACCTCTATAATAACTAGCTACTTTAGAGCTTATAGATAGCTTTATAGTTACTAGCGTTACCTATATAGCTAGAGTAATAGTAATATTTAGTACTTATACTAAAAACGTTCTAGCTTATATTACTAAGCTATTAGGCGTCTAAATAATTTTAAAAACACTATAGTTCTAAATATATAAACTCTCTATAAACTAGAAGAATATAATACTTAGTTTTAACTTAGACTATTATCTTACTAAGTATATTTATAATTATCTACTCTACTATATATAGAGTAGCTACTACTAGAAATACTCTTTTTCTAAAACTTCTAACTTCTACTAAAAGGTAGCTTACTACCTAAAGGTACCTCTACCTATTAATATCTTATATATTTCTAGCTAAGTTGCTACTACTATAGTATACTAGAATTAGAATATAAGTATAATGTTATATAATAAGATCTACTACCTTACCTATATAACTAATAAGAAATAAGCTAGTATTTAGCTTTTACGTACTACTAGCTCTAAGGTATTATCTAAGAACTATAAGAAGTTCTATAATAAGATAGAGTAACTATATATATCTAAGTAAGATATTCTTAGTTACTTTCTAAAAGTTCTTTACTTTCTATACTAGAGCTTTAACTCTAAGAAAGTAGATAAAATACTAGAGCACTAATAGAACCTAGATTATAAGATTAAGCTTATCTCTAATAAGAAGAGCTAGCTATCTAAGCTCTTATTATAATAATTATAACTAATATCTAAAGATAAAGTATATACTATAAAGCTCTACGTTAATAATATAGTAAAGAAGAGCTATAATAAATAAAGTATATCTATATAGGCTACCTCTCTACTAGTAGTTTATAAACTAGATAGTAGTA